CCGGCGGTGCCAAGCTGGGGGCCGAGGGCCGGGGGTGCTGAGCTGGGGGCCGGGCCGGGGGTGCTCGGCCGGGGGCTGGCCCGGGGCCGGCAACCCAGGGCCCGAGCCGACCCAGGCTGGAGACGCCGGGGGGGCCAGACTGGGCCGCGCCTCCTCCCCCCACCTCCCCCTTACCTGCTTCAGGCTTCCCGCGAATCAAATGTTCGCGGGAAGCAGGGGAGGGGGCGGAGTTGGGGCGGGGACTTTGGGGAAGGGGTGGAGTTGGGGCGGGGGGCATGGGCGGGGGCGGGGCCCCGTGGAGTGTCCTCCTTTTGGACACTCAAAATATGGTAACCCTAATTTTACAAGGCCTGCACATTTTCAGTTTTCATTGTGCTGCTGCACTCAGTAGTGAAGACACATAACTGCACTGCGTCAAGCTCTCCAGGAGGTGTTGGCAGCTGGGTGGGGACAGCTGGGCTTTGGCACCAGTGGAGGCAGCTACGAATGGTGGGAAACACATATTAGCATGATAATGCTGTGGTTCAGTTTGATGGTCACATTCAGTGTGTTACGAATAGACTGCAACACCTCCACTTGGGTCTGTAAGTGAAAAATAGCCCAGATTCTCGGCTGCACCAAACCAGATAGCAGGGCAGGTCTGCATCAGCCGACCGCATCCCAGGTTAGAGCATGCTCAGAGCTTGTCACAGGGAGGGCTGGGCCTGTAAGGGGGGCTGGGATCAGCCCCACCTGTGTCCAGTGTTCCTCCTAAGTGGGGTGCCCATGTGATGGGTTCAGGCTTGGGCCAGGCGGCTGGGGATCATGTGATGGTAGCCAAGGCAGGGCTACGTGTGAGGGGGCCTGTTCTCTCAGAGATGGGAGATCGGGGCTGGGAACTGGAAGGCCTGGGGCAGACCTTATACAAGGGTTGCTGAGGGCTGGGAAAGAGGCTGTCCCTACCAGCCAGAGGGAGAGGCCTGGCTACAGCTACCTGCAGTGAGCCACAACAGCAAAAACCTTCCAAGGGAATTATGAGCCTGGAGGAACCAAATGGACTGTGGCACCCAGGCTGGGCCTAGTGAGCTGGTGAGCCTGGGGAAGGTGGCTGAGAGTCTAGCTCGGAGTTAAACTGCTCTCGTTCGGTCAATAAAGCAAGCCCCTCATGGAGGAGTAACTTTAAAGCACCAGATGACGTGGTTTGACTAAGGAAGGAGGAAGCTGAGGCAGTCGGGGGACTGACACTGGGTGAGGTAAGACTGTTACAGACCTGATCTGATTTCTGCCTTTGGGACTCTAGACCACAGCAAGCCCCTACCACATCTCCTGTGCATGGGCTGAGCTGGGGGAGTGCAGTGGCCTGTCTGGGCACTGACTTAGAACTCTGCCACACAGTGGATTTCGCAGCTTGGCAGGTCTGGCTGCTTTCCAGACTGCAAACCAGAATCCAGCTCAGTGTTTGCATGTGAACCATCCTCTCCTCTAAGAGCACCTCACTTCCCCAGGCCAGCGCCAGCTCGGCAGGCTTCCCTCATCACACACACGACTCCACTGTTTGGCACCACCAGAGCAGAATGACAACAGGAAGCTTGTCAAAGCCTTCCCCAGGGAGCCACTCCTGGCAGCTCCAACCTCTCTGCAGCTTTGAGCTGCCAGTATAGGTAAGATCCAACCACAGGAGCGGAGGCAGAGCAAATTGGTGCAGTCATCCATGTGACGTCCTGTATCTGGACAGATATTCCCTCAGCTTTCCCCAGACTCCTGCACACACTGATCCCATGGACACAGAGGGCCAGGGTCATTCTGTTATACTTACAAATTTATTATGGTCAAAGATATTGATGACAACAACTGGGGTCTCGGTCTTCAAATCCTCTCTCCTCCCATCAATAATCAGCTGATCATATAAAAGTAGCTCATTCCACAACGGGCTCAGGGTTTCCTCCAAGGTCTGTGTGGAGAGCGATCAGGGTTAATAGAGCTCAGCAGAGTCTCTTGAATTCAGTCAAGTTCATACTTACAATGACCCTTTAAGGAAGCAGTGGAAAGGGGGAGGGGGAGGCTGCAGACATTCCTTCCCCAAAGCAGGGCGAGAGGCACTATGGAGCACACACAAATGCACACACGCGCACACCACTCAGTGCAGTGTATGCATGGCCAATGCCTTCAAGAGCAGGAGATGAGAGAATTCTCGGCGCTGATCTGGGCATTAGCCAGTTTCCCTCAGATACAACAGTTGTCACCAAAGATTCCTTAAATATTCACACTGCCCAGTGCAGGCCTGGCACGAACAATGGAAGGAAACAGAGATTAACAGTGGACAAACCACAGCTTCACAAGTGGCCTTGTAAATAGCCTGTTGCTAGTAGATAAAGAAAGAGTAAGAAGAATGACGGATGATAATCTACAGCTTTGCTTAGTAGCAGCTTGCGGACAGGGATTGGTTACCAAAATTAGTAACCCAATTACAAAGTGTGATACAATGTAACATGGAATGTGCATGAGTCACTTTGGTTTAGAATGTGTGTACAATCCGATTGATTTTTGTCTGCTTTGGCAAACCCCTACACCCATCCTCTCAGCACAGGACTGCTGTATGCCGAGAAAAAGCCCTCAGTGACAAGTCCAGATTTGAGCTAATTCCTTGGGAACAGTGTCTGGAAAGTCTCAGAGAAAAATCCCAACACTCAGAGGGCATGAAAATGTCTCCACAGCTGGAGTCAAGTCTCCTCCGGTGATGCCAGCTTCCAACACTGCAAGCAGTGACTGACTTGGTCCATAGGTGAGTTTCCTGAGGTGAGGGAGATGGGCTGCAGTGGGACCAGAAAGACCTTACCCTGGTGGTCTGGCACTGAGTCGAAAACACCACTCTTGCAAATGGGTCTGAAAGGCCATTGTCGTCAGCAGGCAGGATCCCCCGAGCCTGGTACAAGTGAGCTCGCAGCTGGAAGTAACTGAAGTCTGGCAAGAAAAAGCAGAAATCACTGGGCTGCTATGAGATCAGAGTAGTTATGCCCTTAGCACTCTTGGGAGAGAGTTTCTAGGCAGACCCAGAGAGAGAGGGCGTGGCCCTCTGAGGTGAGAAGGGCAGGGGACAGCACCTTTACAGGTGTCTGCTGAAGTGCTTTGGATCAGTATATCAACATGGCTTGGGCCAGGCAGTCCACTTTTGGTTAATTTCTTTGTCCCCAGTGACAACAAGTCTTTGGGTGGTTAATTTTGGAGTGATTTGTAATGAACATGAGCCCCTCAGAGCTGCATCACAGCAAAGCCAATGAATTACTGGACAGATCTTGAGCAGGTCACACACCCTAGAAATCGGAGCCCAGTCAGTGACTCTCCAGTAGCTTATGAAGTCACAGTGCCCCTTTCTCACTGGGGGGGTCCCTGTGACATTCTGCCAGAACTTTAAACCTTAGAGCAGTGGTTCTCAACCAGCAGCCCAAGGGCCACTTACGGCCCAATCAGCACACAGCTGTGGCCCATGTGACATCCTCAGGGCCATAGAGGTAGCATTGGATGAGGCCCACAATGGCAAATAGGTTGAGAACCACTGCCCTAGGGACACAGGTTGTCTATGGTAGGCTCAGGTGCCATGCTCTCTCTGCCCTCCACGCTAGCAGGTCTATGCCATCCGTACAGAAGGAGACGGCAGCACTCTAAATGCTGCTGTGGCAAACACACGTTCCCACAAGCCAAAAAGGCTCTTGGCAAAGCCCACATCCAGGTGCCCAGACAGGACTCGCTCAGCTCACCGCTCTCTCATTTGTTTTCACTTTAGCCTCCAGTGGGACTGTAGAGTAACCAGTGCAATCAGGGCAGCTTGTGCTCACCGTCCCTGCTGAGCCGGCTAGGGGGCATGTGCGATGGGAGCCGCGCTGTCTGCTGGCCACTCTCATAGACGGGCTTGAACTCCTCGGGCAGTTCTGCAGTGCTGTTCTTCACGTACTTGGTCACCCCCAGCCACATATAGATCTCTAGTTTCGCAAAGATCTCTCCGGTGCGTGACCCTGGGACCTTGGAGTGCAGAATGTTAGTTTCACTTCCCATCCAGACCCACAGGCCATCAGCCCAGCAGTGACTATATCACATGCCGGTGATTAGCAGTGCACCATCACTGTGCCTGCAGCTTTACACGTGGGTATGAAGGGCAGCTGGGCGGGGACCAAATTTTCTGTTTCTTGGGAAATTCCACAATCTCAAAAAAAATGTTATGTTCCAGAAGGAAACCAAAACTTTCAAAATTTCACATGAAACAAAATTAAAAAAAAAAAGTGCTTCAAAATCAAAATATTTTGTTTCCATAAAATCAAAACATTTCCTTCTGATTTTACCTTTTTTATAATATTAAAGACATTTTGAAATGAAGTAGTTTCTAAACAAAAACCAAAACATTCTGTTCTGCAAATGATGAAATGTTCCCATGTCAAAATGTTCCAAATCCTTTGTGCTGTTTTTTTTTCTAAATGAAAACAACCACTATGTGAGAGGAGAAGTCAAGTTAGTCTTTACCCAGTCCAGGAGCTCACTTGTTTGGACCTGGTATAGAAATGAGCAGTATTCTCACTATGCAATTAGACTGCTTGGCTTTTACTAGTCTTACAAATTCTTTCTCAGATACAGAACCAATAATTAGAGCTGGGGAAGGAAGGGAGACCAACATGGAGTGAAAGAAGCAGGAATATGGTTAGGTTTTTCACATAAACTCTACCTTTAAAAAGACGGTCTGGATCTTTGCACAGTCCTTGCCTTTCTCCTCTTCCACTACAGAGTAGAGGACATTTTGTGCAGGAATTCTTGTGTATGCCACTCGCTTATTATTGCTGAACATCCAGAGTAAGACATCGGGGAGCGTGCACTGGGGCTGGAAGAGATTGACAATGCAGAGTCTCAGAGAGAATGTCCCCATGAGGGAATACAAATGATCCAATCCTGCTTCCACCAAAGTTAATGGCAAAACTCCCACTCTGCTGAGTGCTTGGCACTTTTGAAAATCAAGTCACTTACTAGGAGCTTAACTGTGGCTTTAGGGGCCTAACTTTAGGTGACATTTTTTGGAAATCTTGATTGCGTAATACATTTGATTTCTCTTAGTAAGTGCAATATACAAGATACAAAGATAATGTTGCTTAGTGAACTTCTGTGACGAAGTGGGGGGTTTTCTTGTTTTCGGTGGAGTTTCAATGGTTTGCATGCGGAGGGGGTGGGACTCAGTTTCCCTGGGTGTTACTGGTTTAACGAGGTGAGGGGAGAGGGAGTGTGTTTTGCAGAGGACCAGAGAGAGGACTTGGGGACCCAGCCGATGGCCGGGAGGATGGATACCCCAGCGATTGGTGACCTGGTGACCCGGAGGCCCAGTTGAGGAGACGCAGCCAGTTCTGGCCAGTGGGCGGACAATGGGCTGCAGAGTGAGGACCCAGTGACCTAACCAGCCGGTTCCAGCCAGAGAACAGAAGCGAGGAGAGGAGGCCCCGGTTTACAACCCTGTTTACCTGGAGAGAAGACAATGGACAGAGGCGGGGCCTGGGGCCGGTGATCTCAGATGCCCAGCTGGGAGCAGGGAGGCTCTGGGCTGGAGAGGGGGAGCAGGCAGAGCCCACCTGGATGCAGAGAGCCTGGGATGTGCTGGGCTGAGGGAGGCCAGGCCTGAGGCCCTGAGAGTTTCCTGTGCTGTGTTCAACTCTCAATAAACCCTCCTGTTTCATGCTGGCTGAGCGTCACTCAAGTCTAGAGAACAGGGTTGCATCAACCCCTTCGGGGGTGGAGGTCCCGGGGGTCCAGAGCGAGTGGACTCCCTGAGGGGGCCCACGGCAGAGACAGACGTGCTAAGGCTCAGAGAGGTGCGGCTCCAGGAGGTGGAGGGGCCTGACCCCGAGAGAGAGTGGACCCCCGAGAAGGGCTGTCTCACTGAAAGGGGCACCCCCCACGGACCGCACGGGGCCAGGCGTGGGCACAATCTGTGAGTCCTTCACAACTTCACTTTGACATTTAAAATGTGTATCCTAACTTAGGTTTTTGCATTTGATTTCCCGGCAGTTTTTAAAGGTGACCTGCAAAGATTTTTGTGTGGGGTCGTATATTTCTTGCTTTGCTGCTTGTTTTTTCATTAAAAATATCTGGAATATCCAGCCTTCTCCGTTCTCACCGACAGACTCATGGGAAGACCAGAGCTGTGGACTGAGCCCTCAGATGAATGGGGCGTTGAATCTTTTCTCCCAGGTGTTTCTGACAGAAGGCATGTCTATATTAGGGTTACCATTCGTCCAGATTCCCCCGGACATGTCCGGCTTTTAGAGTTAAAAATAGCGTCCGGGAGGAATTTGTAAATGTCCGGACTTCCCCCCTCCCCGCAGAGCACGCGCTGCTGACAGGGCAGCCGGACAGATGGTGCCACTTACATGGGGCTCC